CGTTTCCAAAAAGATCATCCATATCGACTCTCGCGTCCCGTGGATGACGAAAGATCTTCGCTCGTTGAAAAGAACTAAGAAGGCTGCTCTCAGAAGATTTACTAAACTCCGCACACTGCCACTGAAATGCTACTATGTCAGACTCAACCACGAGTATAAGCGGTTAAGTCGTCTCTGTTTTCAACGCTATCAAAGGAGGATTCAACGGCGGCTAAAATCACACCCGAAATCCTTCTGGAACTTCGTAAATGAGCAACGCAGGGAAGTCGGCTTACCCTCTTCCATGATTTTTAATGGTGAAACTGCTGGAAATCAACAAGACATTTGCAACCTGTTCTCAGGTTGCAGGTTTGCTAGTGTGTTTGATGCCGAGCAACTCTCCGCTAATATCATTACTTCCGCGGCCAGTAATGTTCCTTTGATCAACCAAACGCTCAGCATGGTCGAAGCCACTACAGGTACGATTTCTAGAGCAGCATCTAAACTTAAGACTTCAACTAAGGCTGGACCCGATGGTGTTCCGTCGATTATTCTTAAAAAGAACATCACTTGTCTTTTAGATCCACTGCGCCGCATATTCCAGCTCTCTCTTTCCAGCGGCATCTTTCCGTCTTGCTGGAAGACTGCGGATATGTTTCCTGTTCATAAAAAGGGAAGCAAACGCGACGTAAACAACTACCGGGGAATCACGTCGCTGAGTGCTGTATCAAAACTTTTTGAATTGGTTGTCATAGAGTCCCTAAATGCGCATTGCAGGCAATATCTAAGTACAGATCAACACGGATTCATAACTGGGCGTTCCACAACTACGAACCTGCTGTGCCTAACGTCCTACATCACAGACAGTTTGATTGCTCGGACCCAAACGGACGTTATCTACACAGATCTTACGGCAGCCTTTAAGCTGAACCACGAAATTGCGATCGCTAAGCTTGATAGGCTAGGGATCGGTGGAAATCTTTTGAGATGGTTTCGTTCATACCTCACGGAGCGCCAATTGACAGTAACTTTGGGTACTTGGGCAGCCATCTGGGACCATTGGTATTTCTCCTCTACTTCGACGACGTTCACCATGTTATCACAGAGCCACGATTATCGTTTGCAGACGATCTGAAAGTTTTTCTGCGCATCCGCTCACTCGCCGACTGCCGTTCTCTCCAAAATCAGATTGACATCTTTGCTGACTGGTGTAGTCTAAACCGACTGGTGGTCAACCCAGCTAAGTGTACAGTTATTACTTTCTCACGCAAGAAACAACCGATTATTTTCAACTACAAACTACTAGGCACGACTATCGAACGGGTGCACTGCGTGAAAGACTTAGGCGTTTTTCTAGACTCAAAGCTGACATACTCACACTATATATCGTATGTCGTCGACAAAGCGTCCAGAACGCTTGGCTTTGTCTTCAAGATTACTAAGAACTTCACGGACATTTACTGCTTGAAATCGCTCTATTGCTCTCTCGTACGATCTACGTTGGAATACTGCTCTGCTGTCTGGAGCCCGAACTACAATAATGGGGCCGAGCGAATTGAATCTGTTCAACGACGTTTTCTTCGCTTCGCGCTCCGTAAGCTGCCTTGGAGATACCCACTTCGTCTTCCAAGCTACGAGAATCGCTGCCAATTGATCAATATCGAGCCCTTACGTATCCGAAGAGATGTTTTCAGAGCCTTAACCGTCGCCGATACTCTGCAAGGAAGAATCGACTGCGAAGCAATTCTGCAACAAGTGAACATTAATGTTCAAACTCGATCACTACGCAACAGTCTTATGCTTAGGCTTCCACTTCTTCGAACTAATTATAGCATAGGGAGCGCTATTTACGGCTTGCAGCTAGTGTTCAACCGAGTAGCGTCGATGTTCGATTTCCACTTGACACGGAATATGCTTCACCGAAGATTCTCTGCCTTTTTTGCTGACCGGAGGCGCTTGATGCCCAACAGCTAAGTGTAAAATTTAAGACTTATAAATTTTTAGTAACTTGACAATGCTTTCCTAGTTATTTTCGTTTGTAACTGTAGTAACTGTAGTACATGTATGTCGTCTGTATAATCTGTACTTTTTAACAACACATCATTGGGACTATTTCTAGACTGTTGATGCAACCATAACAAATAAACAAATAAACAAACAAATATTCTTTAATAGCTAGTTAATACTATTATAATAGAGTTTCCCGTCCCCCAAATTTCAATTGCGCGCACTTGATTCGATTTTCTCCCCATGAGTAAACCTGTTGTTTGCTTTGCGGAATTGCTGATTTTAAATATTATAAATAAGGATACAGTGATGACTCGATTTTATCGCCCCCTCTGCGCATCATACTTTTAGTTCTCAATGATAACACATAACCGTAATTTTAAAATCTTTCTCATTCGTCTTAAAGATTGATGTTTAAGGTGCACTTTGGTGCAATTACACCACTGGACAAGCGCATGGTTTTCGAAGAACATAGGAAATGATTTTCAAAAACGGGGGTGTTAAAATCGAGTGATTACTGTACACATCAACTGATTCAAACATAAGCTTTTGTTTAGTTATTCTTTATAGTTGGTAGATCAATGTTATTCCACTGTGTAATCATTGGGTCCAATTATTTTAAACCACCTTTAAGTTAAAATTAAAACCATTAGGCTGCATAGCCACCAGTCATATAGAAGAGTAGCTGTCATAGGATTTTATTTTAAATTTTATGGTATATTCATGAACAATTCATAACCTTTTGATTGAAGGTTTCGTTTATGTATTGTATACATTATCATGTGTTCAGGTTAAATAACAGGCTGTACAAAACAAGATAAACTTGTGTCTAGAAAGTATGAAATTTAATTTAATATTGCCAAACCAAGCAGCTCAATATCTAATCCACTAGTAGCTCAATACAAAATCAATTTATTATATGCTATACATACAGTCCACAGTACAATCAATAATTTGGTAAATATACCGTAATAGTTCACAAAATGTTGATAACTCTTGTATTTAAATATTCTTTCAATCATTTGACAGAATCTCAATCATCTGTATGCAACGGATGAACACTGCTTCCACCTTCTCCAAGAACATCAATTGAGCGTTGGAGGTGGTGGTGGTTCTGTTTTTTTCGGATTCAGCCGCCAACGCAGATGAAGTAGAAAGAGCGGCTTGCAATGTTCCTGAGGGTCTCATCGATTTGCGTACATTTGTGGTTAGCAATATGTATGTCGTTAAAGCTGTTAGGAAGTTGAAGAAATCTGTTTCACCGGGTCCTGATGGTGTACCTGCAATCATTTTTTGCCGCTGTGTTGCTGTTTTAGCTGATCCCCTAGCTCGCATCTTTACCGCTTCGTTGCACCAAGGAGTTTTCCCCGAAATATGGAGACATTCCTTTATGTTCCCTGTCCATAAGAAGGGCGACAAACGTGACGTGACAAATTATCGTGGCATAACAAGTCTATCTGCAGCTTCAAAATTATTCGAGATCATTGTGAACGATGCTATCTTCTTTCATGTCAAGAGCTACATTTCAGCAACGCAACACGGATTTATGCCAGGACGCTCAGTTACATCAAATTTGCTGGAGTTCACCTCAACATGTATAAATCACTTGGAAAATAGGGCTCAAGTAGATACCGTTTATACCGATCTGAAAGCGGCATTCGATTGCATCGATCATGGTATTCTTCTTCGGAAAATGTCTCGCCTGGGAATTTCGGATGGTTTGGTTGATTGGCTGAAATCATATCTTTCCAACAGAACACTTCGTGTCAAGCTGGGTTCGTGCACTTCATCACCATTTGCTGCAACCTCCGGTGTTCCCCAGGGCAGCAATTTAGGACCATTGCTATTCACAATCTTCTTCAACGATGTGACGCTCCTCTTGCCGAGTGGTTGTGTGCTCATATACGCCGATGATCTCAAACTATACATTGTTGTCAAGAACGTCGAGGATTGCCGTCAGCTCCAAGCAATGTTAGACCAATTTGTTGATTGGTGCCGCTTAAACAAGCTTTCCGTCAGTATATCAAAATGTGTGGTCATGACATTTAATCGCACAAGAACGCCAATCGTATTCGATTACTCAATTGATGGATTTGTACTAGAAAGAGTAGAACAAGTAAGCGACCTAGGTGTAATGCTGGACCCTAAACTTACGTTTGACTTACACCGTTCAATGGTAATCACTAAGGCTAATCGTCAGCTTGGTTTTATATCAAGAATCTCAAGAGATTTTTCGGATCCGTACTGTTTAAAAGCACTGTACTGTTCACTCGTTCGTCCGATTATCGAGACTGCATCTGTTGTTTGGACTCCCTACCAACTTTCCTGGAACATCAGAATAGAACGTATCCAAAAAACATTCATTCGTCGAGCATTAAGACAACTTCCTTGGAGAGATCCACTAAACTTACCTCCGTATGCTGAGAGATGTCGCTTGCTAAGCATGGACACGTTACAACGACGGCGACAAATTCAACAGGCAACATTCGTCGCGAAGTTATTAAGTGGTGAAATTGACTCTACCCACTTACTCTCTTGCTTGAACTTTCGTGCGCCAAGCAGATTTCTACGCTCAACGTTCCTATTGCGTCAAGACTCACACCGCTCTTCTTTTGGACAACATGAACCTGTTACGAGTATGATTCGCACGTTTTCTACAGTTGAAGAGTTGTTCGAGTTTGGGGAACCTGCTGCTCAATTCCAGAGACGTATTATTAACTCCAGATACATTTAGTATTTGTTATGGCTTCTGGTTCATTAAGACTTATTGTCAGATGGATGTATTAAATAAAAATAAAAAATAAAATAAAAATAAAATAAAAGCTTCACCAAGGGTGTGAACAACGCATTCTCTGACTGCGAATGGAATCCGGAATTGTCCTAGTTGCCTATCTTATTCAAACGGGATAGGAGCCCCGGTACTTTACCTGAATCGCACTCAACATACTACAACTGCGCGGAACACCGCTGTACAGGGCCAATTTCGGACCGAAATGCTTACCACACGAACGCGCTACTTTTAGAGGACTCACACATCCCTTTGTTAAGAATTCTGTTGTCACGATTTAGTTTAACAGTCATCAATACGTTTACTACAGATTTTACTTCAATTACTTTAGCTTAACTATTATCAGCCTATCCAATTTTCTTACCAGTTTTGATCCTACAAAACTGCTGCTTTTAAGCCATTTCGTCTCATTTGACATCTTTCGTCGTCTCTTCTTTAGGTTGGTCTGCCTGTTCCGGGGTAGTTGCATCACACGAGAAAACAAAACAGAACGAAGCCATCACGCTCCTACTTCGGAATGGTCAATCACTTTTCAATTTTCAAAAACAAACAAAAAATGCTTTGCAATGATCCCATGCACTGATTAACTCTCAAACCCCCACCATCTGTAACTGAAGCTCTAAACCTATCATAACTCCGGCATTTCTGAATAGATTTTTTTTTTATCTATCCAACTCAAACAAACCGCAACCTCCTCAAGTTTTGAAGAGCTTTAAAGGATTTTGAAAAACCAATCTTTTTATTCTTAACATATTTTGAATTGAAATGGGGTAGTTTTATGACGTTGGGGTTTTGAGAGTTAAGGGCGACAGGAGGGGTGGTTGTGGGAAAACCCGCAGGAATACGTAACATAAATAACTTATACTGGACGAATCGAGGGGAACAACGGAGGGGATGAATGAATTTGTGCTAACCTATCGCTCGAAGCTACTTCCCGTCTATAGCTCAGTATGCTGGTCATCCTCGCTGGGCTCTTCAGTTTTACTGGGTTTGATTTCGCCTTGCTCATCCTCCTGCTGCCACTCATCACTGGACGGTTCCTCTTCACCATCGTTTTGCTTAGGCGTTTCCTCGATCACCTGTTCGGCATCATCCGTTCCTTGTTCCTCCGTCTTTTGGTCTTCCTGCTTACTGGAATCCTTTTCCACCTTTGGTGGAGGGGTAGGTTTTACCTTTGGTCGCCACAGTTTCAATTTGTTCACTAGATACTTGACTTCCCGGTCCAACAGAGACATCTTGTCGGTAATATCCTTGACCGTCAATCGGACTGGTTCGTTCCGGGCCATCTTCTTCTGTTCACTCACTTCGGTCTTCTCCCATTCGATCGTCTCTTTGATTACTCGCTCCAGGGTGTCGATTTCAACCTGGGTGAAGACGTCCTTTTCTGCATTTCCTTCCTTGGTAAAGTTTCTCGCCTTGTCCAAAAATCCGTCCGCTCCGGTGATCATCTGCTTCAGAGCACTCAAAGCCTCCGGTCTCTCATTGTGTTCCCAGTGGCGCGCATAAACCTCATTCGCAATGGTACGCAGTTCCTCCAGCTTCTTTTCATATGTCTCGGCATCGGCATCAGATCCGCCTTCGTACAACCACTCGGATATCTCCGAGCAAGACTTCCGAATCAAATCGGCTTCGGCTTGGGTCGCGCACGACGCATACTCTTCTTCGTCCAACCTAACCTGGGCATCGATGACGAAACTTTCCAAGGAATTCAATGCCGTCTCGCGACGTTTCTTCGAGTCTTCCACTTCGTTGAGAGCCTTGATCTTGCTCACTGATTTTTCGAATTCCGATCCATCCAATGGTTGAATGTACAGCACTTCCACCTGGGATGGAATTTCCTCTTTAATTGTCACAATTTTTGGTTTTTCCGTTTTGTTCCCTTTGGTTGCCTCATTCTCTCCGGCTGCAGTGGAGTTTTCCGCACTGCTTGCGTTGGCCGATTTCTCCTCCTCGGATTTCTTTCCATCACTCTGCTCTCCTTCCTTCGGGACATCTTCTTTAGATGCTTCTTCTGAGGTCGCTGGTTTCTCATCGTCGTCGGTGTCTCCAGAGAACAGTTTGCTTATCGTGTTACCCAGCTTCTGCAAAGTACTCTCATCGTCTTCCTTTTCCATCGTTTTCTCCAGAACCAATTCAACGTTGGCCAGCGAGAACAAACCGGAATCGTCCAGAATGAAATGAGCCTTGATTCCCTTGGACTCAACATTGTCGGCCTTGTTGGAGTTCAACTTTTTGGCCACCTCCATCAAACTGACCTTGGTTAAGTTTAGCGAGCCCAAGTTGGCAACTTCGTCCTTTCCGAGTACCGGCTCTAAATCAGCATAATCCACCGAAAAATCGAAATCATCTGTGTGCTTGTTGAACGTTATCACCTTCTTCTGTGGATAGGAATTCATGGCACCGAAAAGAGTTCTCCGGACCAGTCTAGTGCTGCCGCTTTCGCCTTCCCGAGCAAATACAACCTGAATCGGGTGCAAAACTGCATCCTTGACAACGAACTTCTTCACCTTGAAACCGGTGGCCAAATCGGCAGCTCGATAGACAGCTCCCATACAGGCAGCTTCATCGGCATTGACGTTCTTGGCAAGTTCCTGCTTGATATGCGCCTTCAGAACTTCCTGAATTTTTGGCACACGAGTGTTACCTCCGAACAACACCACTTGGTTGACAATATCCAACGACAGTCCGGACAAGGACAATGCCCGATCGATTGGAGCCGTGACCTTTGCGTACAAATCTTTGCACAGTTCCTCGAACCGATCCCGTGTCACCAACAGGCGGAAGTCCTGCTCATCAAGCAAACCTTCAATCTGGGCATAGTGCTCCGTATTGGCGCTCAACACGTTCTTCAGCCTGCCAGCTTCCTTGAACAGCTTGGCCATGGCTCTGGGGTTCGTGAAAATATCCGTCTTAGTTTTACCCATCTTGTTGAACTCCTGTCCCAGATAGTCCCTCAGTCGCACTTGCATCTCCAAGCCTCCCAGCGTCCGATCGTAACCAACGCCAAGCACCTGCACCACCGGCAAAATTTCCTTCGTTGCTTTGTCCTTCACCAGCTGGTAGCTGATTACCGAAGCCGTCGTTTTGTACGCTCCCATATCGTAGAACACAAAATACTGAGCCGTTTCGTTGAATTCCTTCCGCCGGAAGATGCCATAGTTGAGAGCGACCGCCGTGTAGTCGTTGATCAGCTGCAGCACCTTCAGGTTGGCCAACCTGGCGGCGGAAACCAGTGCCTGTCGTTCAGCTTGTCCGAAAAAGCCGGGCACCACGATGACGCACTCGGTGATCGCTTGACCGGTGGATTCCTCGGCGTAGCCCTTGGCCTCCTGGAGCAGCTGGGCGATCAGTTCCTCGATCGTGTATTGCTCGTCGCCGGTTTTGAACACGACCGTCTTGCGGGTTGGTTCTTCGATGATGTCGTAGTAGGGGAAACGTTTCCTGAGAAAGAAAGCATGGAATTCGAATTAGCAGGAGTTCTGGATGGTCGGCATTTGTCCAAGCTGACTAGGCTATATAGACAAAAGGTATGCCAAATGGTTTGATATTTCTAGCCTAACATTTGAAACGGGCCAACACCATTGGGTAGGGGAAATGTGTCAATTTTACGCAAAATTCCAAGGTAGTTTTAAGAATTTTAATGAGAGATCAGAAATGAATTTGTTGGTTGTTCAATGTAAAGTTCCATGACGACTATGAACTGGATTTCTGGTAAATTTCTAATTAATATTCCAAATAAGTACTGAGAAGATTTTTTAGAGATATGTGATAACAATTCCAAGAAAATTCCGATAGTATTGAATTCCAAGGCTGTTACTAGATTTTCATGGCGAAATCCGCCATTTCTCAAAAGAAATCCGCGACTTTAAATACGAATACGCGACAAATTAAAAAAAATGTTTTCATTGACCCATTCGATCTTATGGGTTTTGGCATAGAATGACAGTTGGCAATGTGACCTTCGGATTAAAGGATGTTGACCCGGATTCACCGTAAAAACCCATTTCTCAAAAGTCATACTAGAACGCATCGATTATTTAAGGAAGATGTATAAATGACGTAGCATTTTAGGGTGACCAGCCATATGCCACTATGAGGAGGGGAACCAAATTTGGTGCTTCATGAAACATAAACGAATGATGAAGCACCAACTTTGGACCCCCTCCCCCTTGCAGCGTTTATTTCTACATGACTGGTCATCGTAAAATGCTCCGTCATTTATGCATCTTCCCTTAGAATACTGAGAGTCCTGAACAGGCTTTTGAAATAGGGTGATTTCTACTTTCTCGAAAAGAAAAATAATGATTGCTGTTTAGTCGTGACTCCGATGTAATTCACAAATTCTTGAGGTACACCACGGCATACGTTTCTGGCTTTATTGGCTTACATTTGGTTTCCTACATTGTCGTAATCGACACGACCCTGGACTATCGAAAAGACCCTACTGAGAATAAGGTCGGTGTCCAACAACAATGTTAGTCGAGCATTCATTGCTATAATCCTGATAATTGACTCCAATAATCTTTATGCTTTGCTTCCCTTCGATCCATATGTTACTACCCTGTCGGCTGACCCAATTAAGTAGGTATAAACCACAAGAACAACAACAACCACCACCACCTCCAACCACTCACCTGTACAGCTCCACCATCGGATTATCGACCGTCTTGCCGAGCAGATCGATCAGATAGCCGTAGTTGTTTGCCGGAAAACGTACACCCAACGTCTGGGCATCCTCGCCGATCAGACGGTCTCCGTTGCGGAAGGCAATCGTCGTCGGTGTTTTCCGTTTGGATTCCTTGTTCAGTGCAATCTCCATCGGAACGCCCGGTGACACGACGCCAATTTTCATCCACTCGCTACCCAAATCCACCGACATAACGGCGGCACCGTCGCTTGGCCTGAGCACCGCACACAGCGCCACCGTGACCAACAGCAGACACGCGCTTCCCCCACCAAACCAACCCTGTCGTTTCATTCCTAGGGTGAGGGATAAATAGAAGAAAAAAATCGTAAGTATTTTTCCACCGAAACTCCAAACTAATAAAGGTTAATTGTATCGCACACCTACCTGGACTGCCCTGCGGGAACTGCTACAATCGTAAAAATGGAAAAACTAACGCAATTTTCTGCACTACTTTCACTTTTTGTGCAGTACCACCCCACACCGCAATTTCACCGGATAACCTGAACACGTAAGATAATTCAATTCTCTCTGTCCTTACGCGATCGATTGTTAGTAATTTATACGAACAACGCAAAAAGGCTGCTGAAATTCACCGATTCCCCATGGAAAGTGTGCACTGCGTCGCGGCGGAGTTGAAAACGGACCCCAAGAAGCTCTCTCCGCTTGGTCACCGATCCGATCTACTGACGTGTTTCTTTTCGAGACTTCAGCGCGGTTGTCAAACGAGAACGATGCTGCAAAAGTGACAGACCGACGACCGACCACAGCTGATGTGTCAAAACCCGGCCAGAGTTGCCAGTCGAGCCGAGTAGACCCAGTATAGACTACCATAAACTTAAGATAACCGCAATGGTCAGCAACGTTTCAAATTATTTTTTTTTCTAACTATCCAGTATTTTACGATCGTTTATGGCCGCCACATTCTGGCTGAGTTTCTCGTAGGGAACATAAGATTTGAAGTTTCGGTTGTGTCATTTGACGTGTACGCGTACGCGATCAAATTTAAACGTTTACACGTCAAACGACACAACCCAAACGTCAAATCATATGTTCCCTAATTTTTTGACAGATAATGCATGGGCAAACTGTCAAAAAACCTGAAAGCGTATCCATTGTGCGCCGGCCTTCAGCTTGAATAACGTTGATCGATATTGAGAGGAAAATAATAGTGAGAGGAAAATAATAAACAACTTTACACGGCGATGCACCCCGAGGAGATAATACATGTTCCACTAATACCAACAATCAATACGAAACTAACGATTTTAAATTGGCTCACCACTTTAGTAGCCTATTGGTCCCAAGCAAACGATTAACGTACCCTATCCTAGTTGAAATTCTATTACTACTATGTTTGTTTTGATTCGCTATGAAAGTTTGACAGATAACATCAGGGGTGTGTGGATTCATGCAGAACATGCAGGGGTGAGTGAAATAGCTTGGGACTGCTTGGGACCGTTGTTCTGGTACTGAGTGAGCCAAAAATAATAATGATTTTCTTCGGGACCCAGTGGTCTTAGAGTTACCTCTATGCTAATACCCCGTTCACATTACAGCGTATATCACGTGATATACGCTGTCTTGCAATGAGCTTTCATACATCTAGTTTTCACTGGAAATCCTATGTATGAATGCTCATTGCAAGACAGCCTATATTACGTGATGTGAATGGGGTATAAAATTATGAAATCTCAAAAACACCGAAATAAACCTCTCTCAAATTTTAATATTTTGTCGAGGGGCAAGACATTGTAATATTTATATCTAATACTTTAGCTAATATTTTCTAATCCTTTCTAAATATCTTTGATTCTCATCTAATCTTTTCAAACCCACCTAATATTTCTTATCCACTTTGTACTATCCTTTTTTTTCAGTGTGCGGTCTCTGCTGTCATGTCAGCCGTCATTAAAAAACATTCATAATAAGTCGGCAGCGCAGGTGCAGGAGAGTAACCGGAAAACAAATTCCTCCTTCCTGCTACAGTGTTTCGAACGAAGTGATGGCTTCAGATGTCCCGGTACTCAGTCGTATCAATCGTTTTCATCAGTTGAAACACCTCCCGCCAATCCGGTTGTACCTACTAGCCCCGATACGCCAACGGAGAAAGATCCGGCTCGCGTGCAAAATCTGTATCAGCAGTTTGCAAATGAACGCCATAAAGAGGAACAAGCGGGTAAAGCTGGAGAATCACCCGGGGCCAGCCTCGTTCGGGCAATACGGTTTACGTTTCTAGCAACAAAGTGACGGAGGACTTCCTAAAAAAGCATTTCATTGAGTTCGGTGAAATATTGAACATAAAATGTCTGGAAAATGGAAAGGGCAAGGGATTTATTACGTTTACCAAAAACCGAATCGGATGATCGTGCTATCAGCGAGGTATTTCTGGTATGATTTGGGGAAAACTAGACGTGTGTTGACTATTATTTTTTCGTTTCAGATTCACAGCAAAACTGTTGGAGGAATTGCACTGCAGGTTCTGCTGGCAAGACGACAACCGCAGATAAACCCAATCAACGATGCAGGATCTTCGGCGACGGGGTCAGCTTTAGGTCGGTCTCTAAGGAAGCATGTATTAAGTACGTCACGCGAAATTCAGGAAAAAATATCCACCGTTTCGTCACGTTTTTTCTATACCTTATGCATTGCTTGTCATATTTTCACCGCAGAAAACCGCCAAGTAAGTATACTTTCCATTATTCCGTGGTATCATGAATCAACATTTTTACTTGTTTTTAGTTTACCGATGGAGAATCCGATGACGGATCACTATGGGGATTCCGAACACATCCCGATGAGGGATCTGAACACGGATTCTGAAGAGGCATCCGAACATGGATACAGAGGTGGAATCCGTAGACAGGACCAGATGAATCGATGGGGAAAACAAAATAATATATCCAGATGGGGAATCCGAAGTGCATTTTATGAAAAATCCGAACATGGATCCCGATGGTATATACGACCAAGGATTCCGATAAGAATACGAATAGATCCCGATGGGGAATCCCAATATGGATCCCGATGGAGAATCCGAGTGCGGATCCCTATGGGGAATCCGAATACGGATCCCGATGGGGATTCCTTAGACGGATCCCAATGGCAGGGCTGTCGCGAATTGTCGCGGATTTCGCGAATTGTCGCGGATTTGTACTTTCAGTCGCGAAAATCGCGGAGACATTAAAAAATGTCGTGAAAATCGCGAAGGGACTGATGTGCTGTCACAAAAATTGTGGAATTCATTCCCCCCTATTCTGCGAGTCACGTGACTCTCTCTCACCGGTGAGGTGACAATAGTCACCTCGTGTGAGGTGACTCTTCATTTGATTTGCACGGAGAGTCACCTCACACGAGGTGACAATTGTCACCTCACCGGTGACAGAGAGTCACGTGACTCGCAGAATAAGGGGGATTGTAATCTTTCCGTCCCGGATTATTTTGCTGTCATCAATTTTGTTGTTCATTTGGCTCTCAATTTTTTACCGGTTCAAACCAAACACCCTGCAAATAATCAAGAAATGATCTCAATTCCATACGTCCGGATTTACACGGAAACTCCCTGGGGTCTGTCCAATGTGAGACATTTTCATGGTTTTTTTTATTTTCAATATGAACATAACCCCCCCTATTCTGCGAGTCACGTGACTCTCTCTCACCGGTGAGGTGACAATAGTCACCTCGTGTGAGGTGACTCTCCATTTGATTTACATGGAGAGTCACCTCACACGAGGTGACAATTGTCACCTCACCGGTGACAGAGAGTCACGTGACTCGCAGAATAAGGGGGAACATTTTTCGTTATCAAATCATACACGAATCGTATATATGCGAGTAATTGACATGTGTATCGGATATTCTAGGTTCTCTAAATCGTCCTGGAGTTCAGTTGATTTGTTCTACTCAAGGTTCTACTATATCAACCAAGACTGCAATAATGTATGTAGTATCGAAATATGTCCAAACAGATTCAAAGTGTCTATGTGGATCGTGCCCGACCTATTTTCGTGCAAGTCAAATGTTTTAGGATTTCCATATCGATATTTCGATATTATCCCAGTCTTTGTTGATCTAGTAAAACATCTAGAACTGCAGGACAATTTGGAGAACCTAGATCATCTGGTATACGTGGAAATAAATCATTATCCATATAGACACTATGAATCTATTTGGACATATTTCGATACTACAGACTTTATTCCAGTGGTGGTTGATCTAGTAGAATAAATCATCTGAACTCCAGAATGATTTAGAGATCTTAAAACATCTGGTATACATAGCAATAGTTCATTCATGATCCACATAGACATTGTGCATCTGCCGGGAAATATTTCGATACTAAAGATATTGTCCCAATCTCGGTTGATCTAGTAGATCAAATTATTTGAACTCCAGGACGATTTGAAGAACCTACAACATCTGGATTACTCGGAAATAGATCATGCATGATCCACATAGACACTTTGAATCTGATTGGACATTTTTCGATACTACAGACATTCCCCCTTATTCTGCGAGTCACGTGACTCTCTCTCACCGGTGAGGTGACAATAGTCACCTCGTGTGAGGTAACTCTCCATTTGATTTACATAGAGAGTCACCTCACACGAGGTGACAATTGTCACCTCACCGGTGAGAGAGAGTCACGTGACTCGCAGAATAAGGGGGATTATTGCAGTCTTGGTTGATCTAGTAGACAAATCAACTGATGTCCTCGACGATTTACAAAGTCACATATACGATTCGGTCATGATTTGACAACGAATAGGTTCATAGTAGATATAAAACAAAATAATGAAAATGTCTCACCATTGGACAGACACCAAGGAATATCCGTGTGAATACAGAACGCGACGTGAACATTAAGGGTGTCTTATGAATCTCTGGTAATTTCTCAATTATGTGCAGGGTGTTTGGTTTGAATCGGTCAAAATTTGAGAAAACTACAGCTAAATTAACTACAACATTTAGAACAGCATAATACGTCAGAGACGCAAAGGTTAAGTTTCAAGAAAATTTGCATTTCAAATGAAATTGCATTAATTTTTTTTAAATAATGTTTCATCAAATCTAGGCCGATATTATTCAATAGAATCTCATAATATTTTATTATGTTCACTAATTACTCAGAATTTATACTATACATAAATAACTGAAGATGATACATTGTTATTTTTTTTTTTTCAAATGCTACAAACGGTTCTATAACATTCCCCAGAAAACCATTCCCATGAAAACCATTTCCCACAAAACCATTCCCCAGAATCTCATTCCCCAGAAAGCACCATTCCCCATAAAAGCATTCCCCAGAATGAACCATTCCCCAGAATGTACCATTCCCCAGAAAAGTATGACATGTATTAGATTTACTATTTTTGTTTATTATAGTCACTCCTGGAATCTTCTTTCGTGTATATAAAAAGAAGAAGAAAACTTCTTAATGGGTCAAGGGGTTTTAGGAGACCTTAATGGATCAATGGGTTTTCCCTTCTTTGAAAATATAACAAAAGGAAATAATTAATTCTAAATAATTTCTTTGGATATACGATAAAGAAGGGAATATTCCCTTCTTTAAATATATAAAAGAAAACATCATTAATTCGCTAAATATATGATAAAGGAGGGAATATTCCCTTCTTTGAAAATATATGAAAAGGAAATAATTAATTTTTTGGATAAACGATAAAGAAGGGAATATTCCCTTCTTTGAATATATA